CACTCCACAAACTACCCTGAGAGAGCCATAATCATTTACATCTCATTGCATCTTATCTATTACAGGAACACTCTCATTCAGGCCTCTGCTAGGCCTCTGCAGAAGATTGGAAAAAAAATGTTGTTATCTAAAGTGACCAGCGGAAGTTCATTCAGCTTCTGAGAGCTCCAGAGTGCCTAGCTACTGGTTTTCAGAGTGAGAAAGAGATTAACTGGGGAACATAACTTTGGTCTATCCCATGGCAGTTCTGAATGATGCTTCTAGGCATGAAAAGCAGCATCTTACGTTGACATTTTTTGCCAAGCATTAGCCAGATATAGACAAAAATCTGTTTGGAAAAGGTATGTACAAATGGTAGCCAGCAGATCCTGGATTGTTCATACTCAGGGGGTTTACAATTTGCTAAGATCGCAGCAGGTAGGCAAATTAGAGTCAAACTGTGCACCTGTTTGCTTCAGAGGGCACCACTTTTCCATTCAGCTCCAACTGATCAGCGGTCCCATGCAGCAGAGCAGAGAAGCAGCACCTATTTTAAATCAAAGCTGTAGCAAATAGCTGGAGCATCTCAGTGGTCCTACACAGCTGGCTGTTCACAAGCCCTCACCTTCCTGGGGAGGGGGGAAAAACGACCCTGCAAAGTATCCAGGCTCTACTGTAATGAAGATATTGGTATTCCAAAGGGAGAGAGAGAGACAGCTATGTTCTGAAGGTTCCACTGCAGAAAAATAAACAGTGTTAACTCCTTTCACTCCTACTTCTTTTCTCACAAGCAAAAACTCACATTTTTTCTAATTCAGAAAGATCTGAATGAGGTAAGAGACACAGCTTAACTAAGGTTATGTTCATTCAGTTTAATGCAGTACCACATTAACAAATCTCTACTTGCATAGGCACAAGCCAAAAAGGCACCGTAGTGAAGGACTCTGCCTGCAATATACCCTCAATGTCTGGGCTAATGATGCGAATCAGGGCATATTAGCCCAGGCAGAGTCCCATACAACATGGCTATAGGGCTTCCAGGACCCAAGTGTCTCTGTAAAACACTGCACTGTGCCATGTAAACAAACATATACGTGCTAGTAAGTTTTCACTATTCTAGAGACGGGTCTAGAAAGT